CCTGGTTGGGCAGAGAAGGGCGCTTGCTGGCAGCTCTCAGAGGGGAGGGAGCCAGTGAGGTGCTGGGGGACAGCAGTGCAAAGCCATCCCCACCAGAAGTCGGTACCGATGCAAAGCCATCCCCACCAGAAGTCCCCAGGGAAGCAGCCAGCAGCCAGCCGGTGCCCTGGAGCAGCAGGAGGGACTCTCCCATTCTCTCCATCTCAGCCTCCTTCAGCCCTGAGCTGACTGGCCATGATGAGGTACTGCAGCCACTCCTGAACCCCACAGCCCTTTCTTGGGGTGCTGTCATGCCTGGAGACAGCCGGGATAAACGGGGGTCGCAGTCCTCGGTGTCCTGGCCACCCTCCACCTCCCAGAGACCTCTGTCTGCACCCTCACCCCCTGCCCGGCCAGCAGGCACCCGCCTGGTGCCAGGATGGGACCAAGACCTGCAGAGCTGCAGGGATGGAGGGGGAGAAGCTGTGTCCCCGGGGAGATGGGGCTTGTCCGACATCATCCCTCCTGGAGCTGGAGCAGCTGGAGGCCCCCCGAGCCACCCGATATCTCCATTTCCTCACATCACAGCAACTTCAGCCTCGTGAGGTCGTTGCAGCCTGGATTTATCTCGGTACGGAGCAAATCAAACGCCTTGAGCTATAACAGCGCAGGGGGATGAGCCTGCTTCTCCCTGGGGGATCCTCAAGGCTGGCTGGGAAATGGGGCTGGGGGATGCAGGAATCCCCCGTTTCCTGGTTTTAGCACCCTGGGGAGATGGGTGAGCTCTCTGCTGCTGGCGATGCCGAGACTTCATCCTCGAGCAGCACCAGCAAACATCGCTCCTCCAAAGCAGCTGCCTGTGCCCATGCTGCCGGGACTGTCCTGGGGGCTGGACCACGGGCAGGTGGGGATGGAAAGGGGGTCCCCGCTGCCCACAACAGGAGGGGCCCGGATTGCCGGGGTCCTCACCCATGTCCAGGACATGGCAGGGGCATGGCAGAAGCAGCAGCCGACTCAGGGACATACCCGCATGGGAGAGGTCAACAGTGCTTGGACCGCAGTATGCCAACGTCGACCTCTGTGTGCAAACACTGGCTAATTAAGCATGCCTAATAAAGGAGTGGAGGTAATTAGTGTAACAGGAACTCCAGACATCCTGTGGTTACTGAAACTACTGACATGTCCCCGAGAGATGCCAGAGAGGAGGCTGCGGAGGGCAGGGGGGTCTGGGACGTCTCCCCTGGCTCCGTGCTGGGCATTGCTCACCCTGCGGAGCCCGGCCAGCCTGGCAGGGGCTGCTGCCCCCGCCCAGAGGAGCATTTGGGCTTGGAAAGGGACTTTTCCTCAAGCAGAGCTCGGCTGTGACAGCTGGGGACATTCAAGTGAGAGGGAAGAGGGCAAAGTTGGGAGGCTGCAAATTAATAACCAAGGAGTCCAGCTCCAAGGCAGATGGAAAATGCGATAGACGATGCGCACGATTC